CACTGTCTCTGGCACTCTGGCACTGCCCTCTTCTGAGTTTAACACTATTTTTCTCATTTTAACAGATGATTTGAGTCTATCTACAGCATCTGGATTTTGTTGCTGTGTCTACACACTGTGCTTGGTAACAGAAAGCTTTGCAGTTGGACAGAAAACGGCATATGCTGAAACCATCATTGCAAGACAACATGTTCTTTGAAGGTTCTGTGAGACAGGTCCCACAGTCCAAATCTCTGCTTGTATAACATGGAGTGATGTTTCCATAATATTCATGAACCACAGTGAATTGTCACACAATGGTCTTTTCTTCTAAAAAAGTACTTATCAGCTCAACACTTTTGCTGTGGTCAGTCACCATTTCCATCATAAAGTTCTACTTTTTTCTGCTTATAAAATATGGCAATAAAATATCATGCCAAGATTAAACTTGGCATACAAGTTCTGTCCAGAAGTAACCTCAATTAATCTTTTTTCAGCTAGCAAGTAAATTGATGTAGTCATTTTTAAATCACTTGAAAATGAAAGCTGTAGAGGTTCTGGTTCTCATCATTTTCTCGCAGTCACAGGTCCACAGTTTCAGCACCCCTTAACTACTCACCAGAAGAGTTTGCAAGGACTCCTTCTGATCCCGGATGTCTTGAGGAGGCTTTGTGCCACGAAGGGATTACACATGCTGCTCCCTGCCTCACCTTAGCTGTAGAGAGTGAGGCTGAAGGAAGACGTTATAGCTGGATTACTATGTGCTGTGCTGCTTGGAGCTCAGAATTTAACTATTTAATAAACTTGGGTGTTTCCCATTTGCACCACTGGAGATGTTGGCTGCAAGAACAGGGACCTCACAGCCTTCACAAGCATCTCTCAGACACATCATGGAATCACTTGGAGTACTGCCAGGTAATCATACAGAGGTACCTATATTCCTCATTTTACTCTTTCATGAACTGCTTTGGGAGAATTAGATTGGTAGAAATCAGTCCAGCAAAGTGTTCTGGAACACTAGATTTTAATGGAAGGGCACTCTGCTACAGTACTTGCTCAGTCATTTTTTGGAGAGTAAATGTAGCAGAGGTATTCTTCAAAAGTTGTTTTCCTTTGCACTTTAATCTAAGTTCTGTCTGTCCTCTGTGCTATCAGAGATTTGTTGTGTGCAGCTATTCAGAGGCTCTCGCTTGCATTAGGACTCCCCCATGCTGTGTGTTACTCAACTCTTCACAACTTCCAACCCTGAACCTGCATCTGAACCCAACATCCATCAAGTTTCATCAGTGCATCCTAGGGGCAAAGAGGTCTTTGCTAACGGATCCTACTGTGAGATCTGATCTTCATCCATATTTGAAGTGATTTGTTTTCCCATCTGCAGATTTCCAAGAACAAAGACGGAAAATAAATTACTACTCTGAATGTCTGCCCCATTATGATTAATCATGCCCACGACGCATGTAAAGACTTCTTGGGAGCACCATTTGTTGCTATCATCAAGTCTCAGCTGCTGTCTTTTCTAGAGCATTTCAAACCATACATACATTCCACAGTTCAGCTTTCCTGTTGCTACAATGTGTTAGCAATTAATGTACAATAAACAAGCAGACAATTGTTCCATTTCCAGGGAATAAAATCTCCAAGGATATAAAATGGAATAGAAACTATCCATCCTTCCCCATACCCTGAGAATTAAAAATAGAGCAAGCAATTAACTCCCCAAACACCCTATGTGGTTTAGGCCATAGTTAAACAGCCACTTCAATCTGGCACATGCTTTTACTGCTCCTGAAGTCCTGTCCTCTCCTTACCCTTAACTATTCACTCCCCACTTCTCCTTGGTGTTAGCACAAGAGTTCAAGTGACCCTATGACAAGGCGGGCCAAAGAGCTGTCTCTACCAAAACCAAGGGGTTTTTTCCCTTAGCTTTAGCTTTGGGCTGGGTCAGCCCCCTTCATGTGACTCACTGTAGTACCACATGAATGCCAAAGGAGGAGAGGGTGAGATGAGGTGAGAATTGCATAAGCTGGCGTGACTGCCAAAGAAACGCTCACGCAACCACAGTCCCAGTCTTACTCCTGGGGGCAGAAATGTGAGAGGGAGCCTGCTTTCTCCACCGACTTGTTCTCTGTCGCACCCCTTTGGTAGTGGCAGCCTCCCAAGTTCTCCGGGTCGGGAGCAGCTTCTCTGGGTAGCAGGATTGCAGAGAGGTGCTGGGAAAACCCCAGCAATGCAGTGCTAACGATCAGTGCTTGTAACAGGGCCAGCAAATGCAACCAAAGGACACTGCTCTGATCTGATGCAAGGCAAGTGAAGTTTCTCCTTTGTCAAGATGCTGTCATTGTTTCCCAGCTCAAGGGCTGAAGGAGTAGGCTATGGGGTTGAGACCTTGAGAAGATGAGGAAGAGAGCAAAATTAAAAATCATAACATATCATTACACTTTCACCTGCAAGTCTCTTCCCTACGCAGATCCTGTGCTCAATGGCCAGAGGTCACTAAAAGTTGAGGATTTTCCTGCTGCCCGCAGTGAACTTCACTTTGAGCAGGAAAAACGTCAAAGGCAGCTGGCTGGTTTGTGGTTTGCATATCTTTCAAGCTCTGCATTACCCTTTGTTCTGCATGAAACATTAACTTTGGAAAGCCAAGAGAGACCTGGGGGCTGCCCAAATGGTTTGATAAACACTGACTTAAATCAAGTGCATTTGCCTACTTGACTTCTTTTAAAATGTCACTAAGGCACCTATTATTTCTCTTCACTGCACTATTTCATTTTATTCCTACCTGTTACAAAGCAGTTACTCTTAATATGGCTTGTGTTACAGGAAGGAAAGCGTAACTGGTTGAACGGGCTCTAGAATCACGTTGCTCCCAGAAAGGTATCTCAGAGGAGTGAGAGTGATGCTGCTGAAGGCCTGCTGCATGCTGTTTGCAAGCAAATCGATGCTGGACTGCCAGTCCTTGTAGAAGACTGCTTCTCTTATTTAATGGTACCTTACAGGGTCAAGGAAATGCAAGTTTAACATAACAAATTTAGAGCTTTGTGTTTATCTATATGCTCCTCAGACTGACAAAGCTACTCATATACTACTAAATGCATTTCATCAGTCGCATCTTTAAAACAAAACTATCCAAAAAACTGGACTAATTTTATTAAAAAGCTAGAAGAATGCAGGAGACACCTTAAAAATCTGTTCTATGATGATCTTATGAGAGATGATATACATACAACTCTATGCCTATGCTTGATTCAGAAGCAGGCTGACGATCATGTTTATAGCTCGTGAGATGTTCAGCTGGCCAAAAAATATTGTACATGGAACGACAATAACTTTGTAAAGGAAAACTCGCACAATGTGCCCCGTATAGCTACGGCCAATTATGCACTGTTCTTCCTCGCACTTGCTTGGAACAGTTTTAACTACACACACTCTCCAGTCCCTTAAAAAGCACCTTCCTACATCCAAGCCTCTGCACCTTCAGGAGTGTAGCTAAGCAGGCTCCCCTGGCTCTAAACAGACTGATGCTTTCCTCACACTGGGAAAACGTCCAGCTGTCCATGTACTGCAGATTTATGAGCCCCCTGTGTCAATCTGACAACTCCAAAAGATCCAGGCAGGGAAAAGATTTAGCCCTCTAAACACTATTATTTGAACTTCTCTTTCCACTGGCTACAGATGAATTCAGTGTAAAAGAAAAGAACATAGTTAAAACTGAAAAAAAATACAGAGTTGGGTTCTCAGAAGTGCTCTGCGTTTGTCTAGTCCTGCTCTAGTTTGAGCAGGTTAAGTCCCATAACTGAGCGCTTTTGGAAGTGGAAACATAACTGTTCGCTGAGGAGTAATTGCATCTTGGAGGAAGATGGTACATACGTTAAAGTGTATTACATGCTACATAATAAAAGCAGAGGTTGTGTTCTTTTGCAAGTCTTGTGGTATGAAACTCAGCTGTTTTGCTCTGCACAGGTTCCCCTAACTGTTCAGTTGGTTTCGATCCATCTGGATTTTCAACACAATTTTGTTTTGAGTTTCCAATTTGAATACACCAAAGTTCTGCCAAAACCACATCACATTCAAACCACAGGAAATCATGAATTTGGCACTGTTTTGACATGGAAGCAGGTTCACTCGAAACTGTATCACTGTCCTTCGAGTTTTGAAACACAACAAAAGTTCCGGTAAACCAGGTCAGAATTCTGAATTAGTAAAGCAAGGAGAAATTACGTGACTTTAGCATGGATCAGGATTTTGTTATAAATATTTTCCCCCTAGCTTTTTTCCTTTAGCTATAAACACACTGCATGGAAGAATCAAAAGAGAAGTTGGGTTTCTTCCTTTCCAAGTTTGAGTTAAAACAGGATTTAGCCAATTCTCATAGCTCTAACATATACGTACCCTATTAAAGACAAAAGTAGCTTCTTATTAGCAGTCTTAGCATGAATAACTGTAAAAGCCAGAGTTATACTGAAGATATGAATATGGTTTACTGTGCAAAATAACAGGTAGTCAACTTACAGCTAATTTACACCACTGCTACAGAGGCAAGCCTCCCATTTAAAATCCACTAGATTTTCAGCTGCCAAACACTGGATTTTTTCCCCAGGATTCCCGTTAGCAAACCACAAGGAACTTTTATGAAAATGGAACAGTCTAAAGTATGATTTTTGCCTTCAACTGCTCAATAAACACTGCTCTAAAGAAACACATATTTGTAAAGAAGTCACAAGTTCAGTGAGGACGAAAGAAAAACAATCTAGATTTCCAGACCAAGCCTGAAAACAATCCAGATTCCAAACCTACCCAAGCCAGAAGTTTGAATAGAGAGCTACGTGAAGGTGGTCTGACTGAAGTCAAACAAATAGGAAGCAAAACAAGATTTATATTACTGCACTGCCTGCAAGAAAAAGGCCGTTTAATCTTGCCAAATTTCTTTTTTACCAGATTTTTAAACTAGGCATTTTGAATGTCAGAAAAACTCTGCGGGGATCCACGACACGCAGAATCGTACATCAGCCATATCTGACCTGTCATTGAGTTCTCGGATGTACACAGTTGCTCTCGCAGCTTTTCCACGTCGTCTGGATGAACCTGTTCGTACAAAGTGCTGCCAAACCATTCAGACTGTGGCTGGTTCAGCACAGGAGTCACAGAATCAGATACGTAGATCACTCTTCCCGTCTCAGCTGCAACTACAAACAGGAACCCATCTGCAGCCTCCAGGATAAGATGTTTCAGTTCCTTCCAAAGAAAGGATTTGATTAGAATGCCAGCAAGAAAAGGGAATTCAAGAACACATCTGTCACTGCCAAAGAATATTGTTTTCCTGCCATCTTAGTAGCTGATTGCAACGTAGGCAGAAATTTTCGCTGTACTATTGATATAACACAACCAAACTTGTAGCAAGCCATAAATTGCTGATCTTAATAACAAACAACATTTTGGTTTCCTTTATTGCCTTTCATCTGGTGATCTCAATGCACTTTAGGAAAATTAACTAACTAAATCTCACTGCATACTGTGTGATAGGCATCTAACATTAAAAAATAAAAAGTTATTTAAGAGTACAAACAAAGGAAATGAATAGCTATAACTCATATGGTAAACTCATCCCTTAATTAAACGTCCTGAATAATTTAATTGGAAAGAACCCAACAAGTCCTTCTGGCTTTTTTGTTTTGTTTGGGTTTGGTTTGTTTGGGTTTTTTTTTTCCCCCCTCAGGATGAGCTCTGTAAATCAAACAGTCCCTGGATAAAAGGCAGAAAGTGTAATGGAAACAAGGACAGGAGCCCCCAGCCTCCCCTCCCCTTAGGGGACCCGAGCCACTACACAAGAGGGTTGTATCACTTCTTGCTTTCTTTTTCCAGCCTGTGAACATGAAGCCTCAGAGATCCAAAAGGTCTGGAACATCCCTGTCTTTGGCCTTTTCTTTACACAGTCCCCTGCTCATCATCCTGGGTACTTCTCTCCTGAGACACCCGCATCCACGTGAGACGCAGCACCCAGAGCCTTGACCCCACCTGGGGACTGGAAGGGGACCTTGCCTTTAAAGCAAGGTACTTCTGTCCCTCGCTGTCAGACACTGGGTCTAGACGCCCAATACCTTGAACTGCGCAGGCAAACAGCTCTTTGCACGCATCGCACAGAAACGCTACCTTTGCTTAACAGAGCTTGAAAACCTTTCACAGGAAAGGATGACAACTACCACTCCAATTCCTGGGAAGCAAGCTCAAACAGCCTTGGCTTGCTGGTTCCAGCGATCATCAGAACTTGTTAAGATACTGCGTCTGGAACTCAGAGAGCTTTGGACAACCTGGGTCTCAGCCAGGTTAGACAGCTCAGCACGGCTGGTGTGCAAGTGGCAGCTATTAGCTGGTAAGGTGAGGATCACAACCTGGTAAATTCTACTAAAGAAATGGATAACTCATCTCAAGAAACACTTAACGGACCATCAACTTCTATTGTAGAGAAAACACATCAATTCTGAACCACTTACTAGCTAAAAAACCCTCACTGCATAGCTGGCTGCACTATGCAGAAGATAATGAGACCTGTTTTGCATACGTTATTAACAAAGATGAGGATAAACTCTGTCTTCTGCAAGGTTCAAAAAAACCAAAAAGGTGCAATGCGAAGTGACTAGGGTCCCCTACCAACAACCAGCTGAACGGCACCGTCCCTCCAGAAACACACTTCAGGACAACCAGAATAAGCAGAGATATGAACATGGCGAGGTCAGCAGCAGCTGTATCTCTAATAGAAAGAAGTATTGCCTCCAGCCACAACTTACATGTGTAAGTGCTTAAATCGTTCAGACCACAAAAATGCACATTACACCCAGAGGACTTCAAAAACAATGAAGGTGGTAGGAATTTCCAGTGCGTTCAGTTAAACACAGTTTTCCTTCGAGCACTGGGTGCATCTTCCTTCTTCCATCACAGATGTAACCAAGGAAGTACCTCAGCCAGCACTGACAGGATTCATCTCTGCCCAGTTCAGCTACCGGGAACTTAAGCATTAAGACTAAACAATGTGTTTAAGCTTCCTCTATACCCAGGAGGAAGAAGCAGGTCTTTCCAGATTCATTTTTACCTATTTTAGAGAATCTTTATTAGGATGGGAAGAACCCAGTTCTGGAGGTGAAAATTCCTTTCCAGTGATGAGAGACAGCAAGTGGCTTGCTTTTTACAGACTTGAATGATAAGAATGCCCATTTTGCTGCTTCAGAGAGAAAGATTTGTCATAAAGTTAAGATCAAGTCCGAACAGTCACAAAAAATTGTCTGTATTCACATCTTGGATACATTGCTTGTACCACTTACTACAGGACAGCGAAAGATCAAGCTGAGACTCTACTCCTCTCAGTGTTTCCTCACATCTTTTAAGACCACAAACCAGAAAGAAACCACATAATTTTCAAAAAATCTACCTGTTCTGTAAGAAACGAAGGCTTGTAAGCTCCATCAGTAGATTTGTTTCCAGTGCCCCTCATTGATTTCATGTGTGAAACAGCCATCCGAAGAATTGTTAGCTTGTCAGGCTTACGAGCCAACGCGCTACAAGTGGGTACCATATCAGACAGTTCGGTGATATACTGGGTCATCTTATTTCTCCTGCGTCTCTCAATTTCACTATGATTCTCCCTGAACATTTAAAGAAACACCAAACCAACAGAAAAGCAGACACGATCAGTGTAAGAATTTCAATTGGACGTAACGAATCATAATAATACTTTATGCTTGTTTTGCTGTTTCACCCCAGGAGAGCAACGTGCTTTACAAAGCTAAGCACTATTATCCTTCAGTTTATAGACAGAAAATCCAGGTCACAGAAGGATAAATATGATTTGCGTATAGCTGTGAAAACAAACCAAATTTCTAGCTATTGGCTCCTGGCCTTAATCTCTTAACCAGTTTAATCTCCTTTGGTTTAAGGACAAAAAATGAAGTAGAAGGATGTGAGGAACTGACAGCTGCCAACGCCAGCCAAACTCCCAAATCTGCAAGAGCTGTGATGCATCTCACAGCTTCCAGTCCTTGCTCAAGGTGTTGGATCTGCTTATAAAAGGCTTCTTTTAGCAGAAACCTCTCACTAACAGCTGGACCAGGTCAGCAGTGTCAGTGCTGACTTACAAAAAACCCCACTCAATGACAACACAGATCTCCAGTCCTATAATGTTGTGTGGAACGTTCTGCACCCCTGTAGGGAGATGCTACATGCCTACAGGATCAGACTGCGGGACTGGGACCATATATGGTATAACAGTACATACAAAAAAACCCCAGTAAATAAATAAAATGACTACGTAAGACAGCAAGTAAACATGTCAGACATAGATCAGAATTTATGTTTGAGAACAATCTAGCACAGCAGGGAAATAGCAATGACAGTAGTTGATGCTGAGCTCCAATGTTCTCAGCCTTTACAGCAAACATATGACTGAGGTGGTGAGTCAAATTTGAGAATTCTCAACATGGATAGTCACCAAAATTTTTCAGAACTGAAGATCTGGTAGCTCAGTTTTCCCATACCATAAATCACCATTGTTTGATCACTATTAAGGAATGACACCAATATTTACATCGGAGATGGTCCAAGCAGACCTAGAATACTTCAGTGCCTTGCACTTATTTCTCCCATACTGTACCTGTCAGGTGGCAGCTAAATACAAGTACACGACAGGTACATGAGCTTCAGATGTCAAAGCAGCATCTTCCACTGATTTCAATGAGCTGTGCATGGCATTTTCTCGTGGGATCGCTGGCTGATCCAACAAGATGCGAAAGGTGATCACTTGGATAGTCCGCCAGCATTGACCGGTATGATAATGCGACGTTAAAAGAAACCACAACGTTCTTCGAAGCTGACTGTTATGTAGACTGATCATGACAGTAGAAGCTAGGCTTGGCACGCTTTTTGGCATTTTTAATAATGGAGCCTTTTCTTAAAATGCAAGTAAGAATCCTAATTGTAGTATGCTGCTTCCTGAAGCAGAGGAATGCATGGCCTTGCCCTGCTTTACAATGCGTATCCTGCCCCTGCTCACATAGGTGTTCTACGCATGAGGCACTGTCTGCAGAAACACCACTTGTT